CATATGCAACTTTGTAGGGCCCATGCATCTACCCTTCGCATGCTTCAAACCAGGTCGTACCTCAGTATTCGTTCCCACAGCCAGTTTATTGAAAGCATTGATCCAACATGCCCAGATTGTGGCGCCGTATCTGCGTTAGACCACATGCTCTGGCAGTACGCCTCATCACGCGATTCTCGGCACATAACCGAAAAGGAATGGAGCGCTGCGCTCAGGAGCTCAGAACTTGCACATGAACTCTGGGCTGTCCAGAAGGCCAAGGACGCAGCGGTGAGGCTCGGCCTACCCGTCCGACGTGGGAGCGGCCCGCTGCTCTACCTCCTTGAGGTAGTGTTCCTCAGGACCTCAATAAAGTTCTCTGTCTGTCTGTCTGTCTGTCTGTCTGTCTGTCTGTCTGTCTGTCTGTCTGTCTGTCTGTCTGTCTGTCTGTCTGTCTGTCTGTTGTCGTTAGGCGACTGCGATAATTTTTGCTGGCCATTCGTGGACTTCGGTTGCATATAAAAAGACCGTTGCAGGGCTCTAACTATCTCTATGACTCTCACTTACTTCTTTTAGACTTTTAGCCTCTCCGCTTAGACATTGTAAGCGGCTTGTGTAGGGCTGCAAATTTCTGTCGTGGGTACCAGATGAATGAAGATCTCACGTTTGGGAAAAAAATTCTTTATAAGTGTCGAGTAGCCTCAATCTCCCGGCATATACTCCCCAAACCTTCAGAAATCAGCAAACATAGAAAATAAGAAGGGGAAAGATTAAACAAAGAAAACAAAATCTGAAAGATCACCAACGACAGGCGCCAGAAAACAAACTAAATGTTTGACTGTTTGTTAGATGTGTAAATTAACACTCTTACTGAGCATAATTACTAGACTATTGATAAGTGGAAACATATGGCTACTGCGGGAATGATGCCACACCTGTTTTAAACTTCTGCAGAAAGTCCTTATATGGTCGCTGCACTATACCAGGAATGTTCTCGTTGTTTTTTCTTTCGTATAACTGAAACAGGTTGCTTCAGGAGTCCAGGAAACTATGTGTGCCATAAACAACCGCTGGTGACGTATGCTATCATTTTCCGGCTTCTTACGTAAGCCGAACTGTCTCGTTTATTTTGACGAATTGGTTAAGGCTTGTGGCGTGTGCTTACTTTTTTATCGTTCTCGGTAAACAGAATGAAGTTTAACAATAACGCCATGATGGTTGTCGAGACATTTGTTGGATGACGCATCCGTATAGAAACATTTTCTTTAGACAAAGATTTATTCAGTCGTGTGCTGGTCAGTATTGACTACACACGCTGTAAACAGCTGTACAACGTTAATTTCTGTCACGCAATTGCTTGTAGAAAAATTAAATGACACCCAGGATAGGCAATCAGCATCAGACTGCCGCTAAAATCAAATATTTACCGTATTAATTTATAAGCATATATTCACGCGTAAATTGAAGATAGCGAAGCATGCCAACGTGAGAGTACTATATTCCACACCAATAAAGCTATTGACTATGTGTGCGCAAGTAAACAACCCCGCAAGGAAGCAGGAGCCCCACGCAAAAAACTATAAACATAGTTTCATATAGAATGCGCAGAACGTGTTGTGTATTCGATCCCGCTTTCTAATGAAAAGTATGCGCACACGTCAAATGGGAAGGGACGTGCCTAAATGTAAGGTTGAAGGAGCACGAGTATAACGTGCAAAAAGTGGCCACCTTGGCATTCATAGCGGGGATTGTGGCTTCGCTGTTGCCAGTTCATGGCGATATCATCAGCCAGGGACAGCGTACAAGCTGTCCCCATAGTAGAGGTGTATAGTACACCTGAATCGTCGACCATTTGTTTCAAGCACACCGAATTTTCACAAAGCCGAGATCATTGCCTGACACACACACACACACACACACACACGCACGCACACACACACACACACACACACACACACACACACGCACGCACGCACACGCGCGCGCGCACACACACACACACACACACACACACACACACACACACACACACACAAAAGAACATGGGAAATGATTGAAGCATATGAAATGGTATGCCTTTAAAATAAATGTGTTAGTATGGCGTGTATAACCCGCTCTAAAAAATGTACTTTTCATCTTTGGGTTGAACAACGCGTATTTGTGACACAGAATTGGGATGAGGGGATGTTAACGTAAGATGAATATTAGCGTAATAATCGCAATCTTGAGTGATTTCCCTGCCATGGTATAAATGCGTCAACATTCCAAAATAAAGATCATTCGTAAGTCAGCGCTTGTTATCATTAGTCTTCCTGTGTGTGTGTCAAAATTTCAGCGCTGTTTTTTCTTTCTTAGCACTATGTACCAACTTACCCAAGCCTTAACCTTAGCAAGTTTGGTCTTGGCGGCCTCAGATGGCGGCAAGGAGTCCCTGAACTCGGGCGGCACCTTCCGGCAGGTTGCGTACGACATGCAAAGGTCACAGGTTGGGTCCCTGCCGGTAGCAAGTTATATCTGATCGTCCACTTTTCTTTCTTCACATTTAACATAAAAATTACTTTTAATAACATCCCCTATATTTTTCTTGGCATCATTGGCTGTTCTGACTGCTTTGAAGGCAGTTCATATGAAAAAAAAATATAGGGTGTGACAGTTTATGCCATACCAGTGTTTAAGAATGCAGAAAAACGCTTAGTTTGAGTTATTAGTAAATTAAACTTAACGTATAGATTGACGTAGTATCGAAACATCGCCACGGGTGCGCAGCAAAATACCTCTGTTTTAATGCGTCAATTCAAAAGTTTACGGGAAGAACTTCGAAAAAAAAAAGCGCGTCGCAGCAAACTTTCTAGGTATGGAAAAAAAAGACAGCAAGTCCGAAATACACTGGTGGGCCACTTGTTTATGACGTGATCTCATTCTTTCGCGCTGTACCAAAGAAAATGGCAATTTTACATCTTTTATGCTAATATTCATCACTCAGTGGATATGTGCAGTGCATATACACTACGCGCGAGTAAGAAGTTTTATGTTTTATGCTTTGGTGATAATGCGACTGATGATGATGGCAAATTGTGGGACAATTCTTTGTAGCGGGTAGCAAACTACAAGATACCCACTCGTGACGCTTCTACCGACCCGAAGGTCGCGGGTTCGATTCCTACCACTGTGGCCGCATTTTGATGAAAGTAAAATGCTATATAGGCCAATGCGCTGTGATATGACCCGTGATCTGGTAAAAACAAAAAACAAGAACACTAGATGGTCAAACTTTCTGGAGCTTCATGGTCAATCTCATTCATCACGAATCATGATCCATGTTTTCATAACTGCCACAACTTCAATCATCTCCTCGGCTTATTTATTTATTTTTTTGCTTATTCAGCAAAAACTCCCGCTGGAACCTTGCGCTGTCGTGTTATGCAGTGAAGGTGAAGCAAAGGCAGGCTTAGTACTACCTGTGGTTGTTTAGTTGAAAAATCTTTTTCTCCCTTGAAACGAAAGATACTCGTTCGAAACTTTCTGCTTATTTTACTGACATACTATGCTATGCAACAATACAAAAGCCATATTTTTACTTTGATCGCTACATTGCGAAAATTGAGCTGCAATATTAGTTAAAATGCTGTTATCAACTTTGCCACAACATTTTGGCAATATTTTTGCTTTATTTGTTCCGAAAGTATTTTAATAATTTAATATACAAGCATATAAAGCAAAAATTTTAAAAATATTACTGTCGAAAAAGTTTGTATTTTTATAAAAACTGTAAACTAAAACTGTAACAAAACTGTAAAAAGATTGCATATTAAAATTTTTCGCCAAACCAAAAAAAAAAGAGCAAACTAAAAACGCGGGATCAAATCGCGGCTGCGGCGGCAGCATTTCCGATGGAGGCGGAAATATTGTAGGCTCGTGTGCTGAGATTTGGGTGCACGTTAAAGAACCCCAGGTGGTCAAAATTTCCGGAGCCCTCCACTACGGCGTCTCTCATAAACATATGGTGGTTTTAGGACGTTAAACCCCACAAATCAATCAATCAATGCGAACTAAAGCACAAATGAATAAACTATGAGTCATGAAACCGCTTTGAGATTAATAAAAAAGTTGTGTCGTAATGATTACTCAGACCTGTAATATTATACAAATTATTTGACGTGACACAGTTTCACTTGTGTGCCCAAAGTTTGAAGCGCCCTCTAGACAACAACGTTATTTGAGTGCAATATACCGCCTTAATAACATCTTCTCACATTTACTTATACCTGCACAATTCGTTTGAGCAGAATTGGAAATGGTTGAAAATTCACCGCGTACACTTGTTATGGAACGACCCAAGTATATATAACGTACGTTACTAATAGACTTTTGTTTTATCCCGAGAAAAGAAGCAATAGGGAGTTTTAGAATAGCGCACCGCGAGATCTTGCGGTGCGGTCGCTGCCACTGCGCATGCGTCGTAACGCAGACCGCACGCAGAAAATCCGAAATTGCGTGCGGTGATCGCGGCCCGCAAGCGCTGGTTTCGAGGCTGGTGTCGCTGCGATCGTGCATTGCGGTTTGCAGCAGGGCAAACGCTATTCTAAAGCTCTTATGGTGCCCGCAACGCCCGCAGCGCTTGCAAACGGTATTCTAAAACTCCCTAATGACAGAAGGAAAAAAGAGTTTCTGCGCAACATGCCGCTGTACTTGCCAAAGGTAGAACAATGCAGGGAGCACTATAGGAATGCTTATTGAACATTGGATATTTTTGACTCACCAGCTTTAGAAACATTAAAAATGGCTACAGTACAGCTTGGCATTTGTTGTCTTTATAAGCCACCCCTTACCTCAGGCAAGCGTAGCCGAAGCAGAGCTAATATATGCAAATATCTAAAGACATTGGTATCTGTAACGGTACAAAACAACCCGAGAGAAGAGGCTCCAATAACTTTGGAGCGCGCTTGAAATGTCGCTTTATTTAATCACTTACTTAGCATAATTTATCTGGAGAATGACCATGTTATAGGAACCGCTTGACGTAGTTTGTTATTGCCTAGTGCAAACGCCTTTGTCGCATTTTTGGTTTTCGCGCATCATTCTGGTATAGTTTTTTACTGCTTCTTTGTCCGTCTCGTTCCATGTGATCTTGATTCGACCTTCGTTGGGCGTCCACATTGGCGACATTTTAGCTATATAATTTTCAAGCACTTCATATTCTATGGGACCTGCATCAACAGACAAATAATGTATCAACTGAGCGGGAGAGGATGATTTCATATAAGTAATAATACGTTGAGATTTGTGCGTTGAGACTTACCGACGTCGCTGACGGTCACGGAGTTCGAAAACTTGAAACCATCACCGCCTTTTGCAACGAAGTCTGAAGTAACAACAGTGTATGTTTGTTCACACTTTACATGTTCATACATTGGCACGCTGCAATTTGAACAGAGCACCTTAATTGACGTGACTCGGTCGTTCTCTGGTTTTCTTAAATCGTATCGAACTCGGAATCCTAAAAAAAATAAAATCTTTGTTGATCTTTTTGCAGGCGTAGTTAAAACGGAAATTAAACATGCCTCCTAGTAATAGTTGAGGATTTGCAAATATACGATTCCCACAGTGTCTATTGTGATTGGGTTGTCAAGACGGATTTTAGTGTAAATTCATGTTCGAAACCACAGTCAGATGCCCATGTTGGCCCAGAAACAAAATATTTTGGCCCGAATCGATAGTGTATTTGGTAAGTGATGCTTTTGTGCAGGAAACACTTACCTGATACTTGAAGAAAGCGCCCCTTTGGCATGTCTTTGCTTGTATTGTAGCCTGTCACAGCATGCTCAAACATTTGCCATAGGTCAGTTCCAGTAAGTGTTAAAGTTACTAGCGAATTTCCGTATGGTAATGTAGTGACCACATCTCCCCACGTGACATTGTCTGCTCGGAAATGTAGAAAAAAAAAGAAGGTATTGGTTACAGCTCTTATACAGTAAGGCTTTAGGTACAAACTAGTGTGGGCGCAGCCCAAAATGATACAAGAAAATTTATATAGTCTTCAGTGGTCGTATATAATCATATCAATAAAAAGGAAAATCTGACTGGCTTTTGTGAAGACATTATTTATGACCCATTCTTGTTTAGTTTTTTCTTGCTTTTCGCGGGGGGGGGGGGGGGAGGACGCAACGGCTATATCTCTCACTTACAAAAGCTGGGAAGTGATGTTCGGATGCCTCCTGCATTGACAAGAGCACCGTTTATATCCGACCACGCTGGAGGTTGCGCCATTTTTAGGTTAACGTAGTAATCGAAGAAGGCATCTGCGATCAGGTTGCCGAGGTTGCACTCTTGCAGTCGGCATATGTCGTCCTTGTGCTCCATCAGGACTCTCGTACTGCCAATCACTTCCGCCATTCGTTTCGTGAGGTTTGCCTTGAAAGGCTCTAAAACCTTTTTCATTTGTGCATCTGAAAAAAAAAGCGACGAATCAGAAAAGCATGATAAAGCAGTATAATCATCGTCGTACTTTATTGTATAATATATATATATATATATATATATATATATATATATATATATATATATATATATATATATATAGGCAGGCATGGTGGTTGAGTGGCCGTAGCGTTGCATATAGTCTAGTAGATCCTCCGTGAGCGGTCACAACGTGGTTTATTTCGACGTTTCGGCCTAGAGTCTGGCCTTCATCAGGAATAAAGATACAGTTTGTCGGTGCTCAGCTTTATACAATCTCAAATCAGAGGGCAAGGTAAGAGGGGGAAAAAAAGAAAAAAAAGAAAAGAAAAGGAAAGGAAAGAAAAAAAGAAAAAAGAGAAAAATAATATACGGTGAACGCCCCTCGGGTGCCCCCCTTCCACTTTTCCCTCCACTCCCCCCCCCAACTCTCTCCCCCCTCTCCCCTTCACCTTTCTGATGTCAGCGGTCTGTGTATGTTTCCGTTCGCTAGCGCATTCCTCCCGATCAGACGGTCCCTCCTGGCACTGGCGGTTCGGTGTGGGGCAAAAAAGAGCTTTTCAGGAAGTCCTAAGCCTTTAACTGCTCGGGGTCCCGTAAACAATTCGTCGTAGAAGGACAGGGGCCGTGTATTGTGGCAGAGGCTGGTCAGCGGGCATTTTAGGAAGTTCTAAGCCTTTAACTACTCCGCGCCCTGTCAACATTTCGTCGTAAAAATAGGGGTGCCCCGTATTGCAGTAGGCTGTGCAAGCGCTTGCAATGCGAATTCCTGGCCCGCTTCTAAATTACGCGTGTCGTGGGAGGCCCCCACGACACGCGTAATTTAGAAGCGGGCCAGGAATTCGCATTGCAAGCGCTTGCACAGCCTACTGCAATACGGGGCACCCCTATTTTTACGACGAAATGTTGACAGGGCGCGGAGTAGTTAAAGGCTTAGAACTTCCTAAAATGCCCGCTGACCAGCCTCTGCCACAATACACGGCCCCTGTCCTTCTACGACGAATTGTTTACGGGACCCCGAGCAGTTAAAGGCTTAGGACTTCCTGAAAAGCTCTTTTTTGCCCCACACCGAACCGCCAGTGCCAGGAGGGACCGTCTGATCGGGAGGAATGCGCTAGCGAACGGAAACATACACAGACCGCTGACATCAGAAAGGTGAAGGGGAGAGGGGGGAGAGAGATGGGGGGGGGGGGAGTGGAGGGAAAAGTGGAAGGGGGGCACCCGAGGGGCGTTCACCGTATATTATTTTTCTCTTTTTTCTTTTTTTCTTTCCTTTCCTTTTCTTTTCTTTTTTTTTCTTTTTTTCCCCCTCTTACCTTGCCCTCTGATTTGAGATTGTATAAAGCTGAGCACCGACAAACTGTATCTTTATTCCTGATGAAGGCCAGACTCTAGGCCGAAACGTCGAAATAAACCACGTTGTGACCGCTCACGGAGGATCTACTAGACTATATATATATATTGTCACGTACCAAGGGCCGTAGAGAAGGGACAGGAACAGCGGGGCAGAAAGACACGAGCGTGTATCTTCGAAACGAGGCGCTAACCACACTTCTTCTTCGTTCTCTTTGCCCTTTTCGGCTCGCTAGGGCTTGCCGGCTCACAACTCTAGGTGGCATTATTCCCCCTCCCATTAGAGCATCGACCCGATGCTCATGCACAAGGGGACAGCAGGGTCGGTAAGGGGAAAAAAAAAGAGAAACGGTAGCTATAGTGCACAGGGCATATGCAGGTGCAAAAAAAATTGTCTGAGGTTGGTCATAAGAGAAAAAAAAACCATTAACAGAGTTCACAGTTCGTTCGAGACCCAACGGGCAATGTAAAAAAAAACGAAAATGTTTGCTGCCCGGGCATAGTAAGACGAGTATCACCGCGTAATATAAGGTTTTAGGCGGACGACATGCACAATCTCTGTTCGTGGTGAGTGGCGCTGTGTCGTTGCCGAGCCTCCGTCTGGAATAACTTCATAGTTGACCTCGTTCAACCGCCGTAATACTTTGTAGGGTCCGAAGTACTTGCTCAGGAGTTTTTCGCTCAGACCTCGCCGTCTAACAGGAGTCCAAACCCACACTTGGTCGCCAGGTTGGTAGGAGACTTGTCGGTGGTGAATATTGTACCTTCGGGCGTCTTCACATTGCTGCGATCTTATGTGCACGCGAGCTAATTGACGTGCTTCCTCTGCACGCTGAATGTAATCGTCAACATCGGGAGTTAGTAGCTCGTGCTGGTCGATGTCACAAGGAATCATAGCGTCTAGCATGGTTTGCACGTCTCTACCGTAAACGAGGCGGAAGGGTGCGAACCTTGTCGTTTCCTGGGTTGCGGTGTTGTACGCAAACGTTACGTATGGCAGGATTTCGTCCCACGTTTTATGCTGCACATCCACGTACATAGAAATCATGTCCGCCAGCGTTTTGTTCAGCCTTTCTGTTAAGCCGTTACTCTGGGGGTGGTATGCGGTTGTCTTGCGGTGGTTCGTGTAACTGAGCTTGAAGATGTCGTCCAACAGTTTTGCCGTAAACGCTGTCCCTCGGTCAGTGATGATGAATGACGGGGCACCGTGACGAAGCACAATGTGGTGCATGAAAAACTGGGCGACTTCAGATGCTGTACCGCGTGGCAATGGCTTCGTTTCAGCATAACGCGTCAAGTAATCAGTTGCGACGATGATCCACTTGTTTCCGGAGTGAGACATGGGAAACGGTCCAAGAAGGTCCATCCCAACTTGGTCAAACGGCGTACGCGGTGGATCGATGGGTTGTAAGAGGCCTGCAGGCTTCACAGGTGGTGACTTGCGACGCTGACATTCGCGGCATCCTTTCACGTAGCGTTTGACACAAGCTGCGAGTTTTGGCCAGAAATATAGCTTTCGAACCCGGTCGAGTGTCCGTGAGTATCCCAGGTGGCCGGATGTCGGCTCATCGTGGCAGGCTAATAGGATGTCATCACGAAGGTCATGAGGGACGACTAGAAGATAAGATCTGCTGCCAACACCAGTGTTTTTCTTGTATAATATGTCGTGTCGTAAGCAAAATGACGGCAACGTACGGGAAAGGGGACGAGGAACATACGCGGTGCTGCCTTCTAAATGATCGATGATGGGTCTTAACTCGGGGTCCGCTCGTTGCTTACTGAGGAGGTCCGCCCCACTGAGAGTCCCCAGAAAGGTGCTGTCGTCTTCTACAGCTGTATGGTCGGACTCCAGAGGTGCTCGTGATAGCGTGTCGGCGTCTTCATGCTTTCTACCCGACTTGTATACAATGGTGATATCGAACTCCTGAAGTCGCAGACTCCATCGTGCTAATCGCCCAGAGGGGTCTCGGAGGTTAGCCAACCAACATAAAGCGTGGTGATCCGTCACAACTTTAAATGGGCGCCCATAGAGATAAGGCCTGAACTTTGTAATCGCCCATATTACCGCGAGACATTCCTTCTCTGACGTTGAATAGTTGGTTTCGGCACGTGATAAAGTGCGGCTCGCATAGGCGATCACACGTTCGGTCCCATCTTGTGTTTGCACCAAGATAGCTCCGAGACCAATGTTGCTTGCGTCAGTACGCACCTCTGTGTCAGCGTCCTCATCGAAATGACCGAGTAAAGGAGGGGAACACAATCGATGTTGCAGTTCCGCAAAGGCAGTCGCTTGTTCGTCAGTCCACTGAAATGGGGTGTCGTCACGCGTAAGTCTGATGAGAGGCTCCGCAACCTTAGAGAAGTTTTCAATAAAACGGCGATAGTAGGCGCAGAGCCCCAGAAATCGCCGAAGTCTTTTTTTGTCTGTCGGAGCTGGAAAAGAGGCCACAGCGGCAGTCTTCTCGGGATCGGGCCGAACGCCTGCAGCGCTCACAACGTGACCGAGGAACTTCAGTTCATTGTAGCCGAAATGGCACTTCTCTGGCTTGAGGGTAAGGTCAGCGGATCGTATGGCTTCAAAAACACTCCGAAGGCGATGAAGGTGCTCGTCAAACGTTTTTGAAAAGACAACGACATCATCTAGATAGACGAGGCAACTTTTCCACTTGAGGTCAGCGAGAACGGTATCCATCATTCGTTGGAATGTGGCCGGAGCGGAACAGAGGCCGAATGGGAGCACTCGGAACTCATACAGGCCGTCAGGAGTTACAAAAGCCGTTTTTTCGCGGTCACGTTCATCGACTTCAATTTGCCAATAACCACTTTTGAGGTCGATTGAGGAAAAGTACTTTGCTCGCCTCAGCCTGTCAAGAGAATCGTCCACTCGAGGCAACGGGTACACGTCTTTCTTTGTGACGTTATTCAGCTTCCTATAATCGACACAAAAGCGAAGTGTACCATCCTTCTTCTTTACAAGGACCACTGGCGATGACCAAGGGCTACTTGATGGCTGTATTACACCGTCTTGAAGCATTTCCTTAACTTGCTTTTGAATCGCGCGTCGTTCGGTTGGTGAAACGCGGTAAGGCTGTTGCCGTATAGGGTGCGCGTCGCCGTAGGTGATAATACGGTGTTTGGTAATCGATGTTTGGCGGATTCTCGATGAACGTGCAAAACAGGCGTGAAATTCTATCAACAGGTCGTTAAGCCTTCGTTTGTTTTCGTCAGAAAGCGCTGGATTTATGTTGACGCCCCGGAGAGGTGCTTCGGTATTATCGGTTGCCTCGGAAGCAAAACACTCAGTCACATTAGTTACTGGGTAGGCATAGGCGATGACAGTACCAGGGAAAAGGTGTCGGCGCTCGTAGCTGAAGTTCGTAACAAGTACCTCGCAATGGCCATCCTGAAGGTCTACTAGGCTTCGTGCTACGCAGACACTTTGGGAAAAGAGCAGGGATCGATTGCTCTCCGCCACCATTTCACCGTGTGCTGATTTGTTACCAGCCACTTGAACCATAACACTTGAGCGCGGTGGTATCGTCACAGCATCGTCAATTACCCGCAGACATACTCGATCGTGGTCGGGATTATGCTCTGGTGTGGCGCTTTTTGTTGAGAACGTGACGAGGCGTTGTCG